TCTGGCAATGTGATCCCCTCCCAATGGTGGAAAAAAAGAAAGCCAAAAGGGGTTTTACGCAGCAAAGTGAGGCAACGGGGAGTGAAAGGCCTGTACGCGTCAGTCTATCCCGTGCTGACTGACCCCCTGACACAAGTTCAGCCTTGCTCAATAAAGGAAAATCACTTCCCATTTTCAAACTGCAGGAAATCCCCATTCCCCTTCAAAGAGGGATCCTAGGGAGGAAACATCTGTGCGCTTAACAGCCTGAGCTCTCTGAAGATGCGTTAGCTCGCACTGCGCTCCAGCAGAGTGCAGCCCAGAGGCTGTCCTGAACACACAACCCAAGGTAAAGCAAAACAATCCCAAAACCACAAATGCAGGCCCTGAGCAACCTGATCTAACTCGAACAGGGGGCTGGACCGGAGACCTCCAAGAGTCCCTTCCAATTCAAATTCTTCCTTGATTTTATGATCCTATTTCAACAGAGCATCCAGCCTTGGAGCAAATGAAGAGTATGCCTCTAGCTGGGGGAAAGGTTTGAATTAAATGCAGTGTCGGGATGCTGTTGCCACTTGCTCAGAGTGACACTGCACTTCTGCTGAGACCCAACAGCGCAGAGAAAGGCTACAGAGTCCAGCTAAGCTGCCCCCCTGCAGCATCCTGCCCCGTGCTGGAGGATCACTGGGGACAGAAAGCTGGCCAAAACACGCAGCAGAAACTCCCTGCAAGAAGCAACGCAAGGACACAGCAGGGAAAAAATGCCACAACGTGTACCTGCACCAGAACAGCCCTCTGTTCTGCGGGGAAAAGCTTGCTCTGTACTGACATTACTGGGCTTATGTTTCTGTCTAACTGCAGTTTTCATAAATACCTAACGTGGCCTAGGTGTGCGTCAACCCAAGGGTATGAAGCAGAAATAAGGCAGACATGCTGCCGCCAAAGAAGTGGGGTCTGTGTTTGAACACAGCTGATGCTGCAAACAGGATTTGCTCGTGAGAGAAGCCCACAGAAGACCCTTGGTGGCAGGGATGCCTACACCAGCATTCGTGTCCATCCCAAGTTTGGCATGAAGATCCCAGCACTGAGAAGTGCCCCCCAGACCCTCCCCAGGCTGGGCATGGGCATGCCCACCCTAACGCGTGCCCTGGCAAAGGGGAATGCCTGGGGCAGCTCTGAACCCCTCCGGCAATGCCTGTCATCTGTAGTACTTTGAGTCATTCTGTATTTTGTTCATTTTTATGCAATCTTTCTTGCTCAACATTTGGTTTCCATGGAGTCACATACACTGTGTGAAACAGATTTATATTTAGAAAGTGGAGCGGGTCATATGACCTGTCCCAGTTGTCATGACAACCAGTACAGCTCCCGTTCAGCTGAATCTGGTGGCACATGGCTGCTGGGGACAAGTTGCCCTCCCTGGGTGGCCCTGCGGGCACCACTTCTGTAGCAGAAACACAGCAAGACACTGCCCCTCCAGCCCTCCCAGCCCAGCCATGGCATTCCTCTTCCTTGGGCACCCTGCCTCATTTTTGGCCACCTTCTGTAACACCAGCCCTCTTCCTCGAAGAGAAAAAGTCCCTTTGCCTGTGCCAAGCGTTAGGGCGTCTCACAGTGCGGCTTGCGCTGCCAGCCTGGAGCCGTGGGCTGAGCTATGCCCAGCACATACCCCACATGCCAGTCTAGCAGGACAGCTCTTATTTTTCCCAGTCTTAAAAATCTCCTTGCCCTAGTAAGTCTCCTCTATGCCACGCCAAAGTCTTCTTCACTCCTTCTTCCTCCTAAATAACTTCAGCATCTCCTTGCAGCAGCCGTTTCCTTGGATGCAATCTCTGCCGCCTTCCTACCAACCCGCCACAGCTGTGACCACCAGGTGGACCTTGTGCATGGGTCTCTGCTCCGGGGCCAACTTTCCTGTACCTCCGCACTCCTCCATTTCCCATTTGGCTCTGAAATGCAGTGTGCATGCTTCCCACCCAGCTCTACCTTCCCTGCTGAGGGCCTGGTCTCCCAGCCAGATCCACAGCTGCCAAAATCCTCCCTACTCTCCCACCCAGGTCCGTGGCTGCGGTGCAGGCATGTGCCCAGGACTTTGCTTTAAGGTAATATCCATGAATAGCATCGTGTTTGCAGAGAATTAGCCTTCTGGGACTGGTATATTTTTCTCTGCCAGTACTAGGGAAAAACAAACTGGTTTTGAATGATACATGACCCAGGGAGACAGACTGGGTGATGTCTTCTGTCTCAGTGCTGTGTGAGAGACCAAAACGGGTGGGAAGAGACCCCTTCAAAACAGGAGCTGTCAAGCCAGAGGTGAAAAATCCGAGTAACTCCAGTGCAGGTCAGTCCTCTCCCTTCCTTCTCAATGTGTGCCTGGTGCCTGAAGCCATGTAAGGGGCCAGACTGGGAGAAGCCACAGCATTGAGCTGAAGCTGAGCCTGTCCCCTGTGGTGGGTCTCATGGGACCTGTGGCACCAGGTCTGGTCCCAATCCTGCCACAGACGATGCTCGCTCCCCGGTAAAGCAGCAATTCAGGTGCCAAAGTGCTTGGCAATAGCTATAGACTTTTTTGGCTGAGGAAAGAGAATAAAAAGCCTGTGACGGCTCCTGATCTGGCGAGCGGCAGGTGTGGCAGGAGGGTGAGCGCGGTTTGCAGAGGAGGACAGCCCGGCTGCTGGCTTTCTCACTTCTTGCTCTGCCTGAGCTCTCGGCATGCTCCCAAGCAAGTTCATCACTTTCCTATGCTCCCTTTTCAGTGTGCTCACAGCCGGTGTGAGTGCTACCCTGTGACAGTATTTAGCACTATCTGACAAGAGCGTAGAGTCCTGGCACTGAATTAGCATCCAAGAAAGGGGAAACGAAGTACCACCCTCACAGCAGGCACTGAAGACCCTGAACAGCCAGATGGGAGAGGTGTCTGCTCTGAGTAAGAAAGCCTGCCTAGAATATGGTGACCATGGCTACACCCTGCAAGTATAATGCATATGTACCCACAGGGAGCTCAAGAATCACCCCCTAGGAGAATATACTGTTGTTTTTTCTTCCTGTGCTAATGGACAAAAAGTCATTTAATGGACAAATCTGTTCCATTCCCTTTGAGCAGCTCCTCCTGGCTAGTGTTACCCAGCCGAGCTATGTGTGGAGAGGTGATGGCCAGAGTGAGACTGGATGGGAAAGAAGCTGCGGGCGGTCACATCAGGCAGCAGCAAGGAGCTGGCACTGCTGGGTGGAGCTTCTCCAGCGTGGCCTGGGGGAGCCCAGTGGGCACTTGGCCAAGGAGGGGTCAACCAGGCAGACTGCTGTGATGAAGGGCTCAGCTCCACACACAAGGGAGCACAGAGGAACATTAACAGCAGCACAGAGGGACAATGACGGGTGGGGAACCGAGATAACCTAATCCCACAAACAGAGCGCCCTGCCTGGAGCCTCCCCTGTGCATGAGAGCAATCAGCCCCATTGTCTGGGGCGAAAACCATCACAGTGAGTCAAGGGAAAGGCTCTCTAGATCATCTTACAGACTGATACTGCCTCTAGGGGTATAAGACTGGACTCCTTATGGGATGCAGGCAAAGAGCATCTTGGGGTTATACAAGACAAGGGGTGATTAGGGGAGG